AGAGATGGAGCCTGGGGCTGAGCTATGAGCAGCATATCCCAAAGCAACATCTACAATAAGTTAATTGTTAAGTGTATCAGAGCTGGCCCAGGAGAGAGCCCTGTCTGGCCCTAGCCATGTTCCAGGCACCAAGCTACGTGTGAGAGGTACACAAATGAACAAGACTCCAGCCCTGGCCTCCAGGAGCAACCAGTCTAACGTGGACAGAGACAGATGCGGTGGTAGAGCTGTATTTGTTAATATTTCTGTGTGGGGCTGGAGGAGTTAGGGAAGGTTTTGGAAAAGAGGTGGGGAAGGAGGAATTCACAGAGTGGCAGGAGGAGAGGACATCCCCTCGGAGGGAACAGCATGGGCAAATACAGAAGGGGACAAGGCGTGGTCAGTGCTGGGAGAGGTGCGTAGTTAGGTGGGGCTGGAGCTCAGAGCTCATGGTTAGGATAAGAAGAGGAGAAGAGCCTGCTAATCTGAACTGTGGCCACATTGTGAAGAATGTGGGCCCTGGCTGAGAAGTCTGGGCTTTATTTGATTAGTTGAGAGAACCATCTGAAGCATGTGGGCAGGGGAGGACCGACGGAGGCATGGTGAATAGTCCCCCTGAAGGAGGGGCTGGGGGCGCAGACCAGCAGGAGGCGCCTGTAACAACAGTCCAGGCGGAGAGCCAGTGTTGTGGCTGAGGGACACGTTGCCGAGGGGGTAGATCTGAGCGACCAAGGGACTCTGCGACTGTGTGAGGCAGGCCGCTGGGGATGAGGAGGAGGAGTTGGTCCAGTGGGAGTCCCAGGGGTTTGTTTTGGGTGCCTGAACACCCAGAGGAGGGAGGGAGCAGAGGATCAGCTAGGGAGTTAGACTTTGAGATCCTGCTGGAGATGTGTGTGTTGGGGGGGAGTGGAGTGGAGCTAGAGATGCATGGTGGGGGATGGCAGATTTGGGATGTGAACTAGGAGAGCATGCAGACAAAGAGCAGAAGAGAGCCCAGGGGAGCCAGCATTTAGGGGCAGGTACAATCTCCTGATCCTCCTTGCTCCTCTACCCTCAACTCAACATCCCCTTGTTCTCTGCACTCCAGCTGTTCAGGCCTTCTTCCTGCTCCTTCATGTGGTTCCCTCTGTCTGGAACATTCCACCTTCTCTCTGACGGGGTGGGCACTAGGAGGGCCGGGAATGCTGATGTAGCAGAGCCTACAAGTGTCTGCTGCTTATTTATCTTTGAGGGAAAGGAACCAGATGGAGTCTGAATTTGACAGCAGAGGCAGGGCGGCAGCAAGGCTGTTTTAAGATGGGGAAACTAAGCAGGTCGGTACTGAGGGGAATGGGTGAGGAGGGGAGAGACTGGAGAGGAGAGAGAGGTTCAGGAGAGAGCTAGCTGATGAGCAGGGGGGATACCAAATGGCCGTGGGATCCAGGGAACAAGTAGACAAGGAGGAAGAGTAGAGAAAGAGAAAAAGAAAGAAAAGAAAGAAAAAGAAAAAAATATATATGGGTTTTTTATGCTCTGAAACAAGATGGAAGGAGGAAAGGATGAACGTTACTCTAAACGGAAGCTTAATTCTTCCCTTTCTTCAGGGTTTAAAAAACAAGTCTCCCTGAAGGGTCGCACCATCTTATTAGCAATTTACACCTCAATGAAAATAATTTTCCAGACCAGTTCTAACAGCAGGTTTAAGTGGGGGGAGGGAAGTCGAAGTCTTGTGGAGGGACCCAGACTGCTCTCCAAAATGCAGGACTTGTCAGCCAACCAATCAGAGCAGCGAAAGAGAGCAACTTCCCCTCAGAAAAGGGGGCTTTCCCCCAATCGGCAGTCGCTGGGACTCCCGGGGACCTAGGGGTTGGGACCCTGCAAGGTTGGCGTCCCAGTCTCCTTTCAGGCAGGTCTGTGGGGAGCAGCCCCGCACCGGCTTCTGCAAGGAGAACCTGCCTGCAGCACCCCCGCCCCCCCCGGGGGGTGCTCTTAAAAGGGCAACGTCAGAGGCAGTGGTGTCCGCTCCACCGGGACCTCCCCCGGACGCGATGCAGGGTTGCACCCCCTTTTGTGTGTAGCTGGGAGGAGCTTTTGGGGAACCCCATGCTGGGAGGTGACTGGGGGAGTGGCACAGGCCCCTCATTCTGGCACAAGCTCTGACATGCAGCACATTTCTCTGGGGCCCATCCCAGCTCTGCCTGTCAGACTCATCCTGGGAGGGCAGCCAGGGCTGCCCCAGGCCCCCAGCGGGAGATATGGGGGAGGTCGAGGGGAGAGTAGGCGTTCTTAGGACCCTGGGTACCCCAGGAAGACTTGAGCGAAGGAAAAGCAGGACAAGTCGCCGGAAAAGTGTCCGATCCCAGGAGGGGCTTCACCATTGCAGTGTTTGGCTCCTTGGTGGCTGATAAACTGAACTTCTCAGCGGTCTGTGAGCTCATGCAGGCCCCTTGGTCTCACATTGGTCCCCTGGCTCTTTAGAATTTCCTTCTGGAAGTCTGGCTTCTAGTTGTCTCTATCTCTTGGTAGAGAGGCCAGGTGCCTCCTCTCTTGCCTGAAGCACCCAGACCTGCTTCTTGGGCCCGGAATTCCTGGGTGTGGGAACTAAAGGTTGGTGAGGGACCCAGGGCTCTGACTCACTCCACCAGGCCTGTGGGGTTGTTTGCTAACTGAGGTAGTAAGCTGGGTAGCCGAGGTTGGAGATGGGGCAGGTCAGGGTGCCAGGGATGAGGGCATCAGCTGTGGGTTGCGGAGGCAACTGCTAGGGTGGAGTCAAGGTTATCTGGGACTGTTCCCAAGTGCTTAGCGTCTAGGCCAGCCTTCCATCCTAAACAAGGCTTGCATCAGCCCCATCCCACTGCTCCAGGGAGGGAAGGAGTCTGGTTTTCAGCTCCCCTGGGAGCAAGAAAAGCCACACCTTTCCCAATGACTGTGAGTTCTTTGAGAGCAAGGACTGTGTCCCATTCTTTCTGGAAGCCCTGCTCCTAATCATGCCTGCCTACTGGCATGTTCCTGTGTGAGCTCTAAGGAAGAACCTCAGCCACAGGGTCATCCTTTCTTTCACAACGGTTTTTTTCTCCTCTGGCTCCAGCAGTAAGAAAGGGGTACAGATCTGCTAACAGAGTCAGCTACTTTCCAGGACTCCACTCATTCCTTTTCACTAGGCAGGCTCCCAGGCCTGTCCACACACTCACCCAGCCACAGGGCAGGTAGGGGAGGGTTGGCATGGGAGCTGGGCTGCCAGCAACACAGGGCAGGCGGCTCTGCATGAAGCAGTGGAGAGTCTAGGTTCCAGGGGCCAAAGGCTCCAGAAAACTGGTCAGGTGAGAAGGTATTTCAGCCAGTGCAGGGAGGGGGAGGGGGCCGGGGGAGTCTGGAGCCGGGCCAGGCCCCTCCAGGCTGAGCCCCAGCTTCTGCCCTCCCACAGTGCTGAGGGCCACAGAGAAAGACAGTGCCTCCTGGTGGAAGAAAGACCCCAGGCATGAGGAGCAGAAGAGGGTAGCAGTAGGGAGCAGAGGAGGGAGCTAGAGGGACCTCTAAGGCTAGCTGGGGGTGTTCAGAGCCACTTGAAAGTTTCTAACCCTAAAGCCCAATGGGCTTTTCAGAGGGGGAAGAAGGGTGTGTGGTGGTGACCCAGACCACCCTCCTGACACTGTATAAACTGCCTTTCTTCAAACCGAATAGCTAAGGCTATAGGAATGTCCACTTCTGGTCCTTCTGAGTACCTGGGAGCAGCTTGTTCTTATGTCCTCTTGCCCTGGCTTTGTCATCTCAGAGCCAAGGGCAACAGGTTACAGCAGAGAGGCAGGCTGATTGAGCCTACCTGTAGCAAGAGAGCCACCGTGGTCACCCTTTCAGGTGGCCCAGTTTTGACAGGGTTTCCACGAGCAAGATTAACAGGATCAGCCTCAAGTCCCCATTGAAGACCAAGCACACAGCCTCCTTCGTGGGTGCCAAGCTCCGGCAGGCCTGGCGAAGTTGCAGCTTAGGGACTAAGGAAGCAGAGATTAAGCTCCTAAGTGAAAGACCAGTTCGGAGCCCTGCCCTCATTTCCCAAAGAAATGCAAGCACTGAGCACTGCTGAGGAGTGGGGACTCCTGGCTCCCACCTGGCCCTGCTGTCTCATCTCCCTTACCTGCCTTGTACCCTGTCTTCTGTGTGATGGAAGAGGTATAATCATGTCCCCAACCTCTCATCTGGGACTGTCACAAAGATAAAAGAGATCAGCTATAGGAAGTATTTTAGGCTCCTAGGAGTAAAGCACTATATTAACATAAGGTGTTATTAAAGTAAAGTGTTTGTAGATTGCAGATGAAAGGCAGCAAGTAAACAAAGAGCCTAACCATCACCCTCCCCAGAGAAAGGGTGAACTGGCCATTAGGGCAACAGGGGGAGCGCCAGAGAAAGGAGAAAAGAGTTTTCCTCCCTCCCCTCTGCTCTGTTGGTTGATCTTCCACTTGGGGATGACTGGGCAAGAGAAGCAGCTGTTAATAAGGGCCCAACTTGCGCTCCTGAATCTGGGGTCTCTGCAGGATTAAACACAGTCTCATCTTTCTTGAGGTCCTGCAAGCCTCCTGCCCTTCCCATGGAGCCCCTCCTAGGGAACAGAAGCACTAGGAGGCTTATTATGTCAACTCTGGCCTCTAAGCTAGTCCTACCTGCCTTTTTTTTTTTTTTTTGGTAAAGATTTTTCCATTTATTCATTTGAGGTAGAGAGAGAGTGTGAGAGCAAAAGCAGGGGGGAGGGTCAGAGGGAGAGGGAGAAGCAGACTCCCCGCTGAGCAGGGAGCCCAACGTGGGGCATCTCAATCCCAGGACCCCGGGATCATGACCTGAGCCGAAGGCAGACACTCAACCGACTAAACCACCCAGGCGCCCCTTCCTCACTGCTTTTAAGCAGGGGTGAATTTACACAGGAGGGTCTGGCCCCTGTCCTGCAAGCTTGTGTGTCTAAGACTCGAAGTTTTCACTTTCCCCTTAAGCCTTTCCTAAATCTAAATCTTCTTTAGAAGGAAAACCAGAAATGAGCATGGTTCCAGGGAGAATTGTCAGAGACAGGGTTCGAGCCCTGGGCAGAAGACCGTGGAAGAGTCCTAGCCTTCCCCCAGAGATGCTTTATTACATGGTTTCATCAGTCGTCAGTGAATGGATCCTATGCCCATGCAAGGAGATGGGAACGTCGCACTGTACATGGCAGACTGTTCCCCTTTTAGCAATGCAGTCAGATGGGGCGGGTGATGAGTGGGTGCTTGGCTTCCCTGCCCGTGGGCAGGCTCTGAGAACCCAGCTGACAGAAACGAAAGCCCGACAAACTGGGAGGAAGGAATGTTCAGGAATCGGTGACCTCCATGTTCTGCAGCTGGCTTTCCAGGGGGACATCTCTGGCTGCCCCTTTCTTTTTGCTGCCCTCATGCTGCTTCTTCTGCTTCTTTGATGGCTCCTGGTCAATGGGTGCAGGCTTCACAAAGGGGATCAGTTCCTGGAGACCTGGAGGGAGAGAGCCAACCAAATAACCTATCATTTCTCAGGAGTCAAAGCCCAAGGACTTCTTGTGGAGAGTTCCACAAGACGATGATCCCTATGAACAAAAGGGCACCCACGATGGGAACTGGTTTCATTAATTCTTTTCTTCCCCGGTCTGAATTTTAGCTGAGCTTAAACAGGAAGGGATACCTGTAGTGGCTACTTTCTCAACTTTGGGGACAGCACAGACAGAGTTCTGGGGACTGTTTCTGACCAAGAACAGTTGGTCCACTCTGAAAGGGGGTTTGCTCTTCAGAAGAGCGGGAAGACAGAAGACGAGGAAGACGGGCTGGGCAGGGCGTCTCACCCGGCGGCATGAACGCCTTCAACTTCTCAGGCACGACGATGCCCTTCTCCGTCTGGTAGTTCTCCAGGATGGCGCAGATGGTGCGAGTGGTGGCGCACATCGTAGCGTTGAGCATATGGACAAACTCCACCTGCAAAGACAGGGTCCCCAGAGGGAGCATGAAACTCAGCCTAGTCTTACTCATGACCAGGAACCACCCACTGAGCCAGACTTCCTCAACTGTAACTATCCAAGTCCAAAGCATTATTGATCTTCTGCTAGGCTAGAATTCTGTTTAGTATTTATTGCCTATAATAATAATTCCACGAAGATTCCTCAGATCTCCATGAGTGACAAGTGATAGGTCCCAGCAAATGGAGGAGAGTTGGGCCCTTTGAGGGAAGGAGGAAACTTCCACAGTGGCCTCTCCTTTTAACCTCTTTCAAGTCCCTGACTTTGGAAAAGATTAGGGCCTGAAAACTGGGTTTGAAGAGAGAAACTTACAAACCTAGACCTTCTTAGGTGAGAGGGAAGACACTGCCTCCAACGTGTCTTCTGTAGACAAATGGGGATTATTCTTTAACTGGAGTCACACAGAACAAAGCCCAAAAGAGAAGAACTAGAAATACCTTGTAGAATAGAGCTAGATTCAGGTTTCTATCTAAAAGGACTCTGTCCTGATTTAGTAGAAGTCATTTCCAGATTCCCTTTTTGGTCTAGATTGAGAAGCTCAAACTTTCCCATTGATGTGGGGACATAACATCCTCCAAGGACTGAGAAATAAGATGGACTTATTCTGCACAAGGCCCTATTTCCTACCTCCCAAGGGGCTACCTACCTTGTCCATCATCTTCTTGGTTTGCCCATATCGGATTCGGAGCCGGCGAGCCTGATAGTCTGTGCAGTTAGAACAGGAGACTAACTCACGGAAGGCTCCCGAGCCCGGAAACCAGGCCTCCAGGTCAAGCTTCTTACTGGCAGCATGATTCAAAGAACCTGTAAGGGAAAACCCCTAGAATTCATGAAGGAGGGATGGTATTTCAGGAGACTGACCTTTAGCAAACCTGAAGAATTCTTTAATTCACATCCTATCCCCAGAAGTGAAATCATGCCCAGATATTCTTATCACCAAATACTCCCAAGTGAGAACAGTGTGATATTTTAATTAATGTGGGCAATTAATTGGATTGTGAGCTATTTCTTTGTGTGGCGGCTCACCTGGTGAGGGTGGTGTTTGTGGGATGCGGGAAAGGGAGGCAGATACCTGAGACAATATTCACAATGTGGTAAGGGATCCCCAAAGACTGGTAGAAGTCTTCTGCGGTAGTAATCATCTCCTCAAACATCTCCCATGACTTGTTGTCGTGTGGTGACGAGTAGACAAACTGTTCAATCTGCAGAGGGGGACCCAACGAGACCATGAAAATGGGACAGGGCGAATAAACGAAAGGACTGAAGTGGGAGATATCCTTGCAATGGAGACCTATTCCTACACCACTGGGAGTCAGGGGAGGCTGGGGCCCCTGCGGGAGATCGGTGCTGGACTGGACTGGGGCTCTGAGAACGAATGCTCCATGGAGCACCTACCATATACATGCCAAGTATTGTTCTAAGCGCTTTGCCCCTACCAACCAGCAGAATCCTCACAGCAGGCCTAATGAGGTGGGTACTATTATTACCCTCCTTTTGTAGAGGAGGAAACTGAGCGCGGAGATGTTAAGCAACTTGTTCAAGGTCACACAGCTGCTAAGTGGCAGAGCCGGCACCGGGACTCAGGCAGCCTGGTTCCAGGCTCTGCGCCCACGGCCACTCCAGCATGTGCTTCTTAGGCAGAAACAGATGTAGGCGGCGAGAGGGAAGCCCGGAGCGAGGCTGGGTCTGAGCAACACAGAGCCTGCCTGTCTCTAACCACCCTGGAGAGGTCGACAAAAGGGTGCTGCTCCTCCCCCTGACCTGACCACTCACCTTCTCAAACTGATGGACTCGAAAGATGCCGCGGGTGTCCCGGCCGTGGGAGCCCACCTCCTGGCGAAAGCAGGTAGACAGGCCGGCATACTTGATGGGCAGATCCTCCGGCCGCAGCCACTCATCCCGGTGCAGGGCAGCAATGGGCTGCTCTGAGGTGGCAATCAGGTATTTCTCGTCATAGGAGTTGTCATCAGACTTTTCACTGCCTTTGCCAATCACCTGGAGGAGGAGGGACCTCTACTAGTTAAGGGTGAGGGATGAGGACCTCAGCGAGAGCAAGAAACCACAGGCAAGGCTAAAAAGACAAAGGAGGGAATGGGTCCCTCCAGAATGGGATCCCTCCTAGAGATCAAAGAAATGCAAATTAAAAGGAGATAAAATATTCTGATAATACTTTTTTTACTTATCTAATACATAAGACATTTATAAATAGTGAATAGTGGCCAATGACGGCAGGGCAGTAAAACCCAAGCTGGTAGCAATATACGTTAATCCCCCCAACAGACGTGTGTTAGGCGTTTCTAAGTGCCAAGTTTGCCAATGCTGGGCAAAAGGGGACACGGTCTCTGCTCTCCTGGTGCTCAGGAGTTAGTGTAGGATAATACTCCTTAAAGAATCACTTTGGGGGCGCCTGGGTGGCTCAGTTGGTTAAGCGACTGCTTTCGGCTCAGGTCGTGATCCTGGAGTCCCTGGATCGAGTCCCGCATCGGGCTCCCT